ACATTTCTCCATATATAGGTTGCTAGCCACGTTGCTGCGTATCTAAATACAGATCCTTTGAAATTACGTTTTACGTCTAAATGAAACATTTGGGGTGGATCTAGAGTTAGGATTATTAATAAAGACAAAAAAACCCTTAGGCCTCATTTTAATATGATTTCATTATAATCTGGACAATAAATCAACGTGAGTTTTCCCTGAAAAATTGATGAGCAAAACGAGAAATAAATTTGAATAACTTAATGCAGTTAATATATGCTAACCAAGATAATGTGAATAAATCGAATATCAAACAATTATATAATAAATTAACAATGGTAAATATTCATGAACGTGAATAGCTAGTTTTAACTGCAATGATTAGCAGATGTTCTTTGTATTGACAACTACAATAACATGAATATAATTGTAATATTTTGTGCCCCAGATTAACACTTGCGTCAGATTCATTTGACCAGAATTAGTAGAGCAGCCTAAACTTTAGCCTAATTCTGGCCCTCTAAACATTCCTTATACTTGCCACTACTATGCTAGCACCAATAAATAAAATAAGACTTATTGTGTAATTGTAAAAATTCACGAATGCTTAATGACTTATTAAATATTTGATTTGAAACAATTGTCAAGGCTTCTATCACACATAATAAAATTTATTGTTGCATCAATAATAAGCAAAATGGTTAGATTACAAAAAAAAAAGCAATTTTACAAAAAGCAAGTTATTCCTTTATATATATTGATGTTTTATTATCACCCACTATTTCTACACAACCTGTTCTGCTCGTATAATCAAGACCTAAATATGTATTGGGTGTCCAATTATGATCTGATAGAATAGAGTCTATTATATTCGTAAATTTATATTAATAATTCTAATAATTCTAATAATCTTAATGAACAATAAAATTAAGATATGAATATACGTACTATCATGAACTATATATTTAGGTTTTGTGTATGCCGCTTCTTGTACGATTGCAAATTTTACTTCTGCAAAATCATTTTTATTCATTCCTAAACGTGTTTGAAGGCGCAACTTGGTCGCTGAAAAAAACTCGCCCTATTTATACAAATATAAGAAAATTCAGAATATAAACGAGTAAATTACATGAAAAAACGGATATATATTCAGACACACTAACAAGTTTAATAACAAATTTGAATGGGATTCCGTGTGTGCAAGAAGGATTCTTGGTAAAATGATATACTTGGACAACTTTATCATAGATACTTTTTTCAATTTCCTCTTGAGATATTTCCTAAATACAAAATAATTAATTTTCGAAAAAGGGAATAAAAGGATCCAAAAGCTATAAGAAATAACTAACCTCTGCGTATAATGTTGCGTGCTCTGGTATTTTATCTATTGGACTGTCAAATTTACCTTTATAGTCGTTTGAAATCTTGCAATTCGTAATTTCAAATAATCTGATTTTACTGGTGGGTCCTGGCAATGATAGTTTTCGTAAAATATCTTCTAAAAAATCATCAATTATAGCTTTCTTTGGGAGAAGAATATCAATCGCTTCCTTTAAAAAATAAAATAAGTAAATTATTAAATAAATTAACTAGATAATGCGTTAATCAAAATATTTACCATCTCCTTTAAAGTTGATCCTAACCAGTATACTTTAAAGAACATCATAGTTTCTAATTCGACAATGCTAAAATCTAACATTTCATAATATATAATATTTGCCGAGGTAGGAGATTGATATCTTACTGGAAGCATCGATATTAATGATAGATTAGCGCTTCTTTTGATGACGGTTCTGGGTGTGCCGAATGTTAGGTGTGCTGACGTAAAACGTAATTTCAAAGGATCTGTATTTAGATACGCAGCAACGTGGCTAGCAACCTATATATGGAGAAATGT